AACACACACAAACTCTGAGAACCAGAATCTAATAAATTACACACGTTAAAGACCTCCTGGACTACAGCCTTTGCTTATTTACAAAATATACCAGCTAAAGGGGGCGGACTTTTAAAACTTATTAAGATTGTAGGTGAAGTGGCCATTCTCCAAACCCTGTTTATATAAAAGCACAGCGACTAACGTGCCTGTCCCTGAATGCTTAAAAAGCTTTTTGCATCAGTGGCTTCAACTTGAATCATGACCAAGGCTATCATCAAAGCACACTGACCAAGAACCTACAGTGCGAGCTGTGACAACTTGAACACTGAACTCTCCACCCTTGCTTCTCAGATCTGGACTACACAACAGCTCTTTCCCTGCTCATGCTGAGGGCCTAAGAAAAGGTGATGCATGATTAAGCAAACTACTTAATGTACCAGGCATAGAAGTAGGTCTCCCAAATGCTTTTCCATCAGGACATCATATATGTATATGCATATGTATGGGCCTACTATCTGAAGCTTGAGGTGGGTGGGAGGTCCTACTGTCTCTCTCTCTCTCACACACACACACACACACACACACACACACACACAAACCCGCCACCCTCCCCCCCCACCAGCATGCCTGGTATTTTTGCTCCTTACACTGATGCAGCACAACTTGTCACTTTGTGCTATCCAGTAATTTAACCATGAATTCAAGGCCCCACTTCTGGTCAAGATGGAGGTGTAGGTAGACAAGCTTCACCTCCTCATGCAACCACAGAAAGGAATTAAAACTAAATCTCAAAACACGTAACACCCATAACGGTCGGAAAATCAAACTATGGAAGTCTGACAACCTAGGATTTAAAGAAACTACCTTCATCCAGATGGGTAGGATGTGTGGAGAGGCAGACACAGAGCGGAGAGGTGAGGAGACATGGTGTGGTGTGGAGGCAGCAGCGGAGGAATGGGCATGGGCAATCCCACATTCACGTGTAGTGGGTAAAAATCAGGAGGGACACCTTGGGAGCAAGCGATCCCAGCCCCAGGCCAGGCCGCACAGCCCAGGGTTCCAGCCCTGGGAAGATAAACCCCCATAACTTCCTGCTGTAAAGACCAATGGCAGGCGGGGTGGTGGAAGAAACAGCCAGGTTTCTCAGGAAACTTAAAGGGCCTGTACAGTCTTAAAATGTATGCAAACACACCCACTCTGGGATTCAACACCAAGATAACAGCTGGAAGGGTGCTAGTCACATATAAGGAGTATGTGAAGTGACTGGAAACAGGGCAAATGCCAGGCAAACCCCCAGAAGCCAGGCAGCAGCACGGTCCCATCTCCGAGCCCTCCCCCAACACAGAGCCACAAAAGGGGAGAAGCAGGTTGTCCCACCCTGGTGATTTTATAAGGCTCTACCCCACACAATTTACAAGTGCCTTTTACAGGGAGTCCAAGCAGCTCTACCAAATACACAGAAGCAAACACAGGGAGGCTGCCAAATTGAGGACAAAAGAAACATGGCCCAAATAAGAACAAAACCAAACCAGAAAAATAACTAAATAAAACGGAAATAGCCAACCTATCAGATGCAGCATTCAAAACACTGGTGATCAGGATGCTCAAAGAACTCACTAAATATGGCAACAACATAAAGAAAAAAATGAAGGTTACACTAAGTGAAATAAAGAAAAATCTACAGGGAACCAACAGGGAAGGGAAGGAAGCCGGGGTTCAGATCAATAATTTGGAACATAAGGAAGAAATAAACATTCAACTGGAACAGAAAGAAGAAACAAGAATTTTTTAAAAATGAGGCTAGAATAGGAAGGCTCTGGGACATCTCCAAATGTGCCAACATCCAAATCATAGGAATGCAAGAAGAGGAACAGTAAAAAACTGAAAACTTATTTGAAAAAATAAAGAAAGAAAACTTCCCTAATTTGGAGGAGATAAGACATACAAGTCCAGGAAGCACAGACAGTCCCAAACAAGTGAGACCCAAAGAGAACCACATCAAGACACATCATAATTAAAATGACAAAGATAAAAATAAATAAAATAAAATCACAAAGGTAAAAACATAGAGAATCTTAAAAGCAGCAGGAAAAAAGGAGAGAATTACCTAAAAAGGAGTTGCCATAAGACTGTCAGCTGACTTCTCGAAATACTGCAGGCAAGAAGGGACTGGCAAGAAGTATTCGAAGTGATGAAAAGCAAGGACCTACAATCTAGACTACTCTATTCAGCAAAGCTACACTATATAGAATGGAAGGGCAGAAAAAGTGATTCCCAAGCAACCAAGCCATTATCACATGAAATGTTAAAGGGACTTAAGAAAAAGACCAAAACTATGAACATTAAAAAGACAACAAATTCACAACTGTCAACAACTGAATCTAAAATAAAAAAGAACTAAGTAAAAAACCAGAACAGGAACAGAATCATAGGTATGGAGATCATTTGGAGGGTTATCAGCTGGGGGATGGGGGGAATGGGGGAAAAGGTGCAGGGATAAAGGAGCATAATTGGTAGGTACAAAATAGATCGGAAGATGTTAAAAATGGTGTAGGAAATGGAGAAAGCCAAGAACTTACACGCATGACCCGTGGACATGAACTAAGGTGGGGGCTGCCAGAGGGAAGGGACTACCAAGTGGAGCAGGGCAAAGGGGGGGAAAACTGGGACAACTTTAACAATGTAATAATAAAATATACTTAAAAAAAAAAAAAAAAAAGGAAAACTTTTCAGCCCTGAAAAGAAACTTCAAGACCCCTTTCAATGCCACAGGTTCAGTTCATAGTACCAAAAAAAAAAAAAAAAGACTGCTTTTACCACAGTAAATCAGTTGAGCACCCTATAGTCCTCCAATCAAAACTCAGATGCCTTCTTGCTTTCTGTTTCTGAAAGCAACAAATTCACCTTCTTAAGGAAGGGAGAAATCATTAAACATCCAACAATAAATGCAAATTGTTGCTGCTAAATCAAACCATGTAATGCTTGCCCAGTTAAATAAACATCAAACTTACGAGTCTTACATAGATTGATAGAGGAGAACAGATTTAAAGATTCTGGCTATTAGCAAGTGGGACAGTAAAGTTCAACTGCATTAAGGAGCAAGAGGCAGCAGCAGAAAGGGTTAGGAGCAGACAAAAGAGGTGACAGTCACTCCAAAGCACCGAAACTTTTCCATAGATCTCACACACAAGGAAGAATAATTTAATTGAGAAAGCCCTTCAAAGTGGAAAGTCAAGCTATTCCACATGAAGTGCTATTAAAGAAGCTGAAGGTGGGTACATATTTCCTTTTGCTAATATCAGAATATTTTCAGGCTAAGGTCTCTTGGCCTAGACCAAAACTGAGTAACTAGCTGCCAACATTTGACACACAGGACCATTTCCTTTTTAGTTAATGGGCCATCAGTTCCTGCATAGGGAAGTCTTGCCTTCCCTAACATTATACAATCCATTTACTTCCTCTACTTTAGTGACTTAAAATGTACCTTGGGGAGATACTACAGAACAGCAAATATGGAGCCAGGCCAACACTAGGCTTGCAGAAACGTAAGAAAAGGGATAGCATCTAAGACAAAGTTTAAAAAAGCAAACCCTAACAGGCATGTGTGTGTAAAAAGGAGGAAGGGGAGAAGGGACCCATCCTCTGTCAATTTGCTGAGGCAGATGGGCCCTGCTGTGAGAGCTGTCACCACCTGGGAAAAAAGCCAGTAGGTTGCCTCTTCGCTCCACAGTTACATATTAAGCCTGCAACTGTTTACGTTCAATCTCAGATACATTCTGTTCACCAGCTTCAGAGTTCCAAGTGCAGGTGCCCTCAGTTAATCATCCCAGCTCACTCCAGAGTCACTTCCAGCAGTGAAGGATGTTCCTTCCAGGCAGCCAGCCAGCCAGTTTTTTGTTTTTTGTTTTTTTGTCTGCACCACTCTGGTCCCTAAAGACTTGTTTAAAAGTTTGGTTTTGTTTAAAGTAGTTTCTTCAGATTAGAGGATAACAGTCACAGGGACAAATCTAGGACTTCAATTTGGACAACAAAAGAGAATGAATGAGAAACAAAGAAACAAACTCCTGGTGGTGGTAAAGTTTGGGTGGAACAAGGAATGGAGATGAATAGACTCAAAACACTTGGAGGAAAAATTATTTTATAAAGAAGTCCTAAGGTTACCTTCCAGAAGAAAAACCAACCTCATATTGACTTTGAAAAAACTATTTACTTTTTTCCAAATATTATTCCAAATATGTGTTTCATAGACAAGGGTCAATATGGGTTATAAATGTTCTATAGAAGAAAACATTTTTACAGACATTGGAAATAATTTTAATAAAAGAAAACATTCATATCTATCTAGATATGCCTATGTTACACAGGAAGATTTCCGTATCCAAAGTGCAAAGACAAAATGACTGTGGTCTTTCTTGCGACACAAAATACTGACACTCTCTCCTATAGCTTACTCGTCATTGTTTGTTGGGATGCTAAAAGGGTACTAGGGCTCCAGTGGACTGGGGCAGGGGGGTTTCATGCATGAGAATGAATTCAACTTATGAACAAACTGGCTTTAACCCCAGCCAAACCCAAAGTCCAGCCAGAGGCCCATTAGATATAAATATAATTGTAGTGTCACTTTTACAAGGCTGTGCCATTTTACTCTATGAAACCTAATCAATGCAAATTAAAGCTAAACATATGCCCATCACTAGTTCTGTCCTCATCCTATCCCAGTTTTATGAAGGCTCCATATTATAGCTCCAGTTCACCATGGGGCAAGGGGACCTTCCAAGTTCTCAGAAAGACCCATCCTATGTCCTCTGACCAAACCTTTCTTTACCCTGCCCTCCCACCTTCCACCCTGAGACAAGTCAATCTTACTAAAGAAGTAGGGCTTCTGTCTTTGTCTCATGGAAATTAGTTCTAAATAACACCAGAGAAAGGTCATTCCATGAGCAGCGTTTAGCTTAAGCCAAAGGGATGAGACCCCCACCCCAACCCGCCCACCAAAAATCATAATGAATTCCGTACTATCCCTGTAAAGATCTCCCATATACAAGTTCTCAACAACAGCATAAAGAGTTCCTATTACATTACTTGAGGAGGAGAGGAAGATATATATAGTTTTAAAACCCCCATGCACAATTAAAGTTGATTAAAATCCTGGAGAACGCTAAAAGTAGTAACAAGTACAGGAGGCTGCAGAGCAGAGAATACAGGTGCCCTTCCTTGCAGTCAGTAAACACTGTAAGTAACAGGAGGCATGGCTTCACTTGAGCATTGGAGAAGCAAAAAAGTTGCCCTGTCTTCCTAGGTTGGTGGCAGACTTGCTTTTACTCCCAAATCTAAAGAAAAAGAGAATAAAATGTTAAAGTATTCTATTAAAAAATGATAAATGAACAACTATAACATGACAATGTAATCAGCTAAAGGTAGAGACCCCTCAAAAACTATCCTGTAAGCTACTCTGTCATCTGAGATGAGAGGCAAAACAATGAAGACCTTTAGATGCTTTTAAATGGGAGACCCTTATGGCTCCAGGTTTCCTCTTAAAGTCTGGTCACTAGGTAAGGTCTAATTCAATCTTTCTTTCAATTAGCTTTAGTATGATGGGAAAGATCTAAGGGAGCAGTAATTTTTTACTTTCCTAAGAAGGCCAATTCCACATACCTGGGCGTGTTCCTGTTGAGGGTGGAGCGGACTCTCTGCGACAGGGAGCTGGATGAAGGAGTCTTGAGAAGCTGATGCTCAGGAGTGGTCACAGGCCCCAGCAAACTCACTTCAGTCAAAGTTAAGACATATTTTTACAGGAGGGGAAAAAAAGAAAGTACCCTCGTAAGTGGCTAGTTTTAAGCTGGAATTCTGTGAAGCACTTAAGAGCTAAGGCGAGAGACCCAGCCAAGTCTCAGAGATCATTTTTGTCATCAGGTTGTAACATAGCAGTGTATCTTTTGAACTATGGAGGCAACTGCTCAATGACTAGCTGACATTTCACTTCCTGATTTAGGACATCCTCAAACTCAAAACTTCACAAATCTAACATCAGACCATTCGATTTTTACCTGTACTAGAAAAATAATACATTCCCTTATAATGAAAGAACAGGTCTCCAATGCCAGTGATGCTGAAATGAAACCAGCCTCATACATTTTTGGTGGCAATACAAACTGGCAGAGCTCTTACAAAATCAAGTTGGTAAAACATATCAAGAAACACAGTAAGAATAAATGATATATAAATTAATGTAAATCTGTATTTTAAAAAATTTCCATATGGGTAAAGAACATAAAAAAGTCAAAAAGAAATCAGGATAGCAGAACTGTACAAATTTTCCTTTAATGTTAGAATTCTCAAAATGAATTTAATTCTTACTGAAGAATATGAATTTTTTTTGAAGAATATGAATTTTAAACAACTCTAGCAAAAGCAAGGAGAGAGCACACGACCAAAAGTGGAGAGGGAGCCAGTTCCTTTAAAAAGCACAACTCGGGCCTTACCTTTAATATCTGGTGTCTGTGGTGTTGAAAAGGCATTTGTGTTTTCAATGACATGCACGGGGTCAATGTTCTCTTGTTCCACCATCATGAACTGACTCCAGTATTCCAGGGGCAGGGAAAGCAAGCGTTCTATCACCTACAAGTCACCAAGTATGTTAGCAAACTTCCAAATCTCAGGGCTTACCTCTCACCAGTCTCATGTTATCATGTCACACAAGTTCATATACACACACACGCTTGCCTACCTTGGGTTGACGCTTGATATCCTGTAACATTGTCACTGGATCTGGATTGGGCACAGCATGGGCAACTATTGTAGGGCCAAAGACTTTAGCCAGATTGGCAACATCCATTTTAGTGTTTGGGCTCTGAGCCACTCTAAGCAAAAGAGTTTTAAATTAGAATACTTGCTCCTCCACTTAAACACAGACTAAGATATAAGTTCTACAAGGAAACAATTCACTTCCCTAACACACAAACCACATTACCTTCCCTTGGAAAATTCCCTAACTCCCAGCAACAACTTTCTGCTCTGCTCACCTCTGCAAGTGAATCATGAGGAAAGCTAATGTGTCTCTGTTGGCCTGGGGCAGTTCACCAACAGCCTGGTACATGGCAGCTATGCTGTTGTCCTCATCTGTAATTTCTGCAAATGAAAAGAAAGCACCAAGTGGCCTAAGACTTCTTTCCCTTGACAGCAGGCTTCCAAGTTATCGACCACAAAGTCTCATCTATACAGTAAACTTCTGAAACTTCTGATTAGGTTCATGACTGCATCAGACTCTAGTTTCATTAACAAGCAGGATACTGACCAACAGTTCAATATTAGAAATCAGAACTTTTAAAAGCCAGCTCTTGCAGTTAGGGAAGGCAGCTAGCCAGGAAGGCAGATATACAACTGCTCTGACTTTAATTATCAAAAAGGTACTTGTTCATAAAACAAATTTATGGGCCTACTGTGTGCCAGGTACTATTGGAGGAGGTAGTCAAAAGGCAAATATCTACCAGATATTAACACATGTAATAAAATAAAGCAGGCCAGAAGCTAGAATGCTATTATTTTAGACAAGGTGGTCAGGAAAGGTATATCTGAGGACAAGATATCCATAAAGACACCTGAAAGAAATGGAGCAAATCATGCAAATATCATTTCAGGCCGAGACAATAAACTAATATAACTGGAAAGGAAAGAAAGAAGAGAAGGGTATAAAAGGAAATGATGTTGCAGATATAACCAGGAACCAAATCATGCAGGGCCTTTGGGCCATGCTAAGGACTGTGGATTTATTCTACCAATGAAGGGAAGCCACTGAAAGATACTGAGGACAGAACAAACATCATATAATTTAAATTTTAAAAGAACCATTCCTGCTTCTGTACGAGGATCATACCATAGAGAGCAAAAGGAGAAACAGAAAAATCAGTAGGTTCTTACATCACTCCAGAGAAAGAGATGTTAAGAGTGGTAGTAGTAGAACGAGTGATAAATTTAAAATTTCAGCTATATTTTATAAGATCTTTGTGGACAAGATTTACCAATGGACTAAATGTGGGGTGTGAGGAAAAGGAATCAAAAGATGGTTTCAAGTTCAAAAGGACAATCTAAAACTTGACCAAACAACAAAGAGCAACAACAACAACAAAACCTGTTAGAGCCGTATACAGTTTAGACAGGGAGAGGACAGGCATGGGCAATAAGGATATAGTTATTTATCAAAGTATTTCAGTATCTACTATTTTCAGGCACTTTACGAGGTGGGAATAAAACTGCAAATAAGAGTAAAAAATTCCTGCCCCTTGTGGGATTCACACTCAAATATTAAGATCTGCCTGTACCTGCTGCTTCCATAAAGGTCTTGTTTAGCCGAAAGGTCAGAAGGGGTTCTTTGAGGTTTCGAAGGAAGTCTTTCAGGAGGCTACAGATAGCATGGATATCATCCACTTTGCTGAGGAGGGGTACAGTTTTCACTCTGAAAAATTTCTCTTTCAGTTCTTTTACTGTCCGGTCGCAGCCTGAGACCCGATACAGGCCTGTCTATTAGTAAGATGATACTTTCAGTAAACAAGCTCGACAGTGTTAACACAAGTAACAAATTCACCCTCTCCTAAATTTACACTTACCTCGCTCAGCCCTCTTTGCTCAATCTCATTTACGCAGTGGACAATTATGGAGGGGATCATCGGAGAGGTCTGGGACACATAATCTGCCAGCATTCCCTGAAAAGGCAAAGTTCTAAATTATCATTTATACCACTTTGACCAGCAGATCTAGACCAGTGGGCAAAACCATTTCCAGACTAATACTTGGGATGGGACATCATGTCTACTTTTAAATTTCTATTCCAAATGCATACATTAGAACAGAGACACTCAATTATTTTTCCTACCTCCACACCAGACTGATTTATGGTCAGAGATACAACACTCTTCGTGAACAAGTAATAAAACCCCTAGCTACAACTGCATCCTTGCTTCTCTTCCACTCAAGGGCATCAGAAAACAAGCAATAATGAGATTGCAGGTATAGCCTTTAATATAAATTAATTTATTACTTTAAAAAAGAAAACCTTTTAAATTATTCTTACTAAGGAAAATTAACACAACTCAACTGATTGTGACACAAACCTACCTGTTTGTGTAGGGGAAAACTCCACTGTACTATACCAGAATACAGAAGACTTGTAAAAAAAAAAAAAAAAAAAAAATCTTTGCATAGAGAAGAACTCTTAAGATTAGGAAAAAATAACATTTGATTTGCTGGGAGCTGGGTAGCAGCTTGGTCATTTTGCTTTGATTTGATTCTTCCTAATGTTGCTTGTATAATAAATACTTTCTTAATGTATTGAATTGATTTTTAGAAATAAGCAACCTATCCTTAATAGCCTAGTATGGAATACCTCTGTAATGTAAGAGAAAGAATATTCATTCACAGATAAAATGTGATGTCAGCTGGGACTTGATTCAAAATTATTCACTAGACAGGGCTAGGAGGAAGAGATGGAAGCATTGATAAATCAAGACCAGACATGAATTAGTAATGATGGAATTTGAATGATAGAAACCAGGAATTAGTTATACTAATCTCTCTACTTTTGTATATGTTTCAAATTTTACACAATAGGATAAGCTGGGGAGGGGAAGGGAGAGGAAAGAAGAGACAAGGAAGGGGAGAGAGGAAAGGAGAGGACGGAAAGAAGAAGTGTGAGGATGGAAGAAGGGAAGGAGAGAAAGAGTGGGAGGGAGGGCGGGTATGGAAGAGCAGTTTGGTCTAGAAAGGTTTTGAAAAAGACAAATCCAAACAGGACTAGTCTGCAAGTTAACATTTTATCATTTCTACTCATTATTAATGGGCGGAAACATACTTGGCATCATTAATTCTAGAACCAAAACTGACATTCAGCTTTAGAAAAGCTAAGAAGCCCTAACACAATGATGCTTCCCACAGGTCGTACCTCTCCAATCTTAACAGGTGTTCCTAGCAGGGTAGGAATGCAGGGAAGGGGACAGCGGTCCCGACATTCTGGATGAGAGACCACACGACAGTCTCGACACTTCAGAGACAACTTGCCAAATTTTATCCGCTTTCCACATGGAACACAAGATTCGGGTTTAATAACCTGAGGATGAAATGGGGCAGAAGGAATAGAGCGGTATGAATTACAAAATTATCAACATCGTCAACTAACATTTACTAAGCACTTAACATGTGCTAAACAACTAATTCTTTTACACATATCTGCTTGTTTAATTCTCACAGTAATCCTATAAAATAGGTTTGGTTTTAAGGAAACAGAAGCAAAGAAGAAGTCAAGTAACTTGCATAAGGCCACCCAGCTGTAAGGGGACAGCGCACAGCAGTGGACTGAACTTGTTTACAAAGAGCCGGAAAAACCTCCATTTTACCTAGGCCACTGTCATGTGGCTCAAACAAGTTAGTTAATTCCTCTGAGCCTGTCAGTTTGCTTGGGTTTTTATGCGGAAATCAAATGGGACAAAGTGAAAATATGCTATTATTTAAGCACAAAACATAAATATATATCACAAAAAGTATAAACAACTCCTTCTGAAAAGTCGCTTTCTTTGAATTTACTATTACTCACAGAATGGAAAGCTACACCCCTTCTATAATTCAGTAGTGACCCCTGGAGAGTGGGATTGGAAGGCGGAGGGAAATTCAACATTTAACTTTGTAACGCTATGCTATTTAAATTTGTTCCTGGTGTATGTTAGTTTCACAATTAAAAAATTAAAGGTGCTCAAGAGAAGAAGGAGCAATCCCAGATTTACCGTCTTGGAGACGAAGTCATGCAGGCGCACCCCTCCACTGCTCTGTGGCGTGCTGGGGCCGTCCGCCTCAGCTCGTGGCTCCTGCTGCCTGCTGCTCAAGGTGGAGTCGCTGTTCCAAGGCTGTAAAGCACCTAGAAAACAAGCAACCTTAACCTCGGTCTTAAGTATTTTGTTCCCTCTGAATTTTAGACCCAAATGTAGTATAATGGTAGATAAGCAGTAATCTATAACCATAATCAGAAGCAAATAAAAATGGCTATGCAAAAAAGGAAAACAAAAAGACAGCAAGAATAACGAGGTATGCGCTAGTGGCATAGGCCAGGCTGGCAACCTAAGGTAGAACTTGACACAGGGCTCTGGCCCTCGGTAAGCAGCAGTGACAAACTACCCAAAACATCCAACCCCTGCCTCAGAAGAGTTCTAAGAAACCAATTCTCCCAAATTTTACCAGTTGTTTACACAGACAACTCAGCCACAAACCCAGCGGACCTGTTTTCCCTCGGCTTCTCGTCCAGCATGGCACAGTTTCAATAGTGGATGTAGCTTCAATGGGCCCACCATCATTAGGAACAGTCACTGTAGTTTTTGCAACTATGGATTCATTCCCCTGAAACAAAGTTGTAATGAGGGAAGGAGGAACATCTGAATCTAACTTCTCCTCCACGATAGGGTTTTGGAATGCATGAAAAACTCCTTTGTCCGGACTTAAGGCCCTACCCAAATCGCTATTAAGTCAAAATCTCATACTTTAGAAGAGAAATATAGGTTGCATGGATATACATACAAGCAACTAAGAATCAAGCGTAAAACTGAAGGTTGTTTATGTAATCAGACTAATTCCATTTATATGGGTGATAAGGATCCTATTACATAAAAAACTCTCACCAACACCTCTCTCAAAATAACGCTGCAATGCTGACACAAAATGTTTAATACTTGGGGCCACTACCCTTTGATGCATTCAAGACCACAATTCTTTTGGTCTGACTTTTCTTACCTGGTCTACTGTGGAGCCAATGGAACGAGTTTTCTTTATAGGTCCAGGGGGACCATCAATGAACTGTCGACTACTGGATCGCTAGAGAGGGGGCAAACACCAATAACTTAGTGCCAAGCAGAAGATCTGAAGCACAGAAGATAAACTTATTACATTAGACAATTTGGATGCAAATCCCAGGTTCTAGAGCTACAGTAAATAACAAATAATGTGCTCTCTCTCATTGTCTATTTCCACATGAAGCTTAAGTGATACCAACACAAACTGCCTTTAGTGCCCTTGAAGAAACAAGTAAGCGTTGGAAAAATTTAGATGACAGCACCAGAAAAGGGAGAGCTGTAATCCTATCCAAGGACATGAAGTCTTCAGAAACATTTTAAGTACCCTAAACAAACACACAAAGATAGTTCTCTGCATATCTCATCATACATACATTTCATTTGAAGTTTATAGTAGAGCACCAAAGTCCTGCATAAAAACCCACATGACAATTCAAAATAAACTTAAGTATATCCTTTTCCACATGATGAATGAGGTGAGAATGGCTCGGAACAGTAAAATGGGACAGGATTCTGTCCTGAGTTACTACCTCAAGGAACAGCAATACCACCCCCAGCATGAAATCACTTGGAAGGTATTCAACAATGGCTAGAGCAACATGTCAGGAATGCAGTATCATGGCAGAATTTCCAGAGGAAACTCTTTCATTACTTTAATTTTTTTTTTTTTAAATACATACCCTCTTTTCTCTCTTCTTCAGTTTGAAAGTCTTTACCAAAGAAGGATCCCAATCCTGTTGACAAATTATACTGTATTAATTTCTTTCTTTGGTTAGGCCTCCTCTAAACCCTGTACAAACAAATTTACAGAGAACTCTAAAAGGCTTCTTCAGTCAGACTCCCTAACTTACAATTCAGGGAGAGGAGAAAAGAGAGTCTCAAGTATTGTAGCTATAAAGCTGTAGTAAGTGAACATGTTTTCTTTCCAAAATTGAAGCTATTATAATAGAATCAGGAATCAATACCACAGAGGCAAGAAAAGGTTAAAGAATCAACTCCTGTCGTGATTATTTCCAGAGCCTGGTCCTTTGTTTCTGATTATTTTTGTAATTAGTTTTAGAACTTACAGAATGTTAGGAACTATACTGATCATGTTAGATGTCTTTTGCTCTTAAGGGATTGTTATTGTCTAATCAGATGTTTCGTACAAAATATGGCCATTTAAAAAGTTCTAGTTTAGGTTTTACTTCTCTCAATCATCTCCCTTGGGCCCTAAAAACATTCACCACTGAAGGATTATTTGTCTTTTCCTGTTGCCTAACTTCCCTTCACTTAGTTTAACCATTTACATTAATTTTTAGTAGTGTGACTTTCTTACTCCTAGTAATTCCTGAAAACACAAAATCCAGAAGGTTGTCTATAGCATATTGTAGCTTGGCTAAATAAATTTAACTTCTCCAATTCATGGTCAAATATTTTAGCTTCTCGTTGTCTGATTCAGCTTCAGTTACAACAGGTATCATACCATAGGTCTACTTCCAAAAGCAGTTAATAATATGCTCTAGTTTTAGTATATATCCCAGATCTGTCCTATATCATTCCTTATTTCAAAAAGGTGATAACAAATATTTATACCTACAAAATGGCGATTATTTCCTTAGCCAAACTCTGAATTTGGCCAAAAAACTCCTAGCCCATGTAATAAGTAGCTGTCGCTTGTTTTGCTATCATCAGAAAACCAGCTTCCAATAACCTTCTGATTTATATTTTGTTTGCTAGCTTTCAGCCAGGAAAACCAATAAACTACCTGTCTCCTGAACACTGAAGATTGAAATATCAGATGACCTTTCATGCAGAAACACTACCATAAGTTAAGAGAAGGGTGCTGCCCCACAAGAGCAGGGTAACAAAGAGCTTAGACATACTAACCATTATTGATCAAAGCATTATATAGGATCTGGAAACTTTCATCAGTCTTCAAGCTGAAGCTCTAGAGCACTGGTTTTCCTTCTAATTGTGAAATATAACTAAGTTTTCCTCAAGAACCAAATTAATTCAGAAATAAGACATAAGTCTATTCTCCCCAAGAGCAACAAATAAGCCCTACCTGAATAGAATTTTGCTAATTTTTTTATTGCTAGTTGGGGTTTTATTAAGTCAAGATATAATAAATTAGTACACACAGCTCACAGATCCATTAAACAAATTTAACCTTGTGCCAAATCCTGAATTCTATCATCTCATTTCCAGAAACTAAAAAAATATATCAGCCAGTCTCTTATAGTTTGTGTGGATTTATACTATAAAATGCTACCTCAGTATTTATAACATATTAATTAATAACATAATAATAAAGAAATTCCATAGTAATAAAGGATTGCAGAGATATTGCTGAGGGAGCAGGAATATGAATGATTCTCAGAGATCAAACGTTCATTACCAGTGAGTCATCAGTCTTGTCAAAGCTGATATCTGATAAAATGGAACCAGATTCATCAATGGTTGACAGTCTAGATGAGTGAAACAATACAAAGTTAGATACAGAAGGCTACAGAGAACAAAATCTACAAACTCCCGCAACAAGTTCCCTAACAGGTCAGGGAACATCAGCAATTTCACAGCAATGCCTTCCCTGTGGAGATAACTCCAAGCTCAAACCCCAGCTGTGGTGGGTTGCTTTTTAAGGTTTCACAAAGGACTGTGTGTGCATGTGTGAGTCCACATGCAGCACAGTTGCTTTTTCAGCAAAGGCCTTATAACTACAGCTAAAAATTATAGTCAGGAGTATGGGTTCTATTCCCTACTGAGTTTGTACTACAGGCTACTAAAAGATTCACAAGGCAGGAGAGTGGAGTTTAATTTGATCCCAACTGTGGTTGCTTTCTATAAAAGAGAGTATTACCCAACATTAGTTTTCTAAGAAATTAAGCCCGTACATCTTCTTAGTTATAAAGATTCCACATAAAACAACCAGGCGACAAAACAAATAGCTTTAAGAGTGCTGATCTTTTCCTACATATTGTACTGGAGGTGTTAAGTTCAAAGCCTGGTTAAGACTATTTTAAAAAGGGATTCAGTGGAACCAACATTATTGTCTGGTCTTGGCTCACAGAAGGCCTTTCTAAACCAGAAGAGCTACAAGAGCTCTCTGGAGAGTAAACACTGAAAGTATTGCTGAACTACCACTTTCACCTTTAGGTTTCTTCGCAATCTGCAGGATTAGTTACTGAGGTGCAATTTAGCACCGATGTCAAAATTTTACCCATGGTGAAACAACATCCTAAGGAAAGATTTTTTTAACAACTGTTAAAATAAAAGAAATAGGGAGGTCCTTGTGCCTTTATTTCCCACCCACCCTTCCTCCAAAGTCTTTCTCTGCTTTATTCAGCACACACTCCAGAAGCAGTATATTTAAGAGTTAAGATAACAAGAACTTCTGACAGCTGTGCTACTTGTGATCAGATAACAAGAGATGCAGTTCCCCCACCTTTTGTTCCCAGCGTTGCCGATGGATGGTTGGCCTCTGTTGAGAAAAGCCAGAGCTGACTTTTGCTCCTCGCTTAGTTGAATGCTGACAGATGTGTCACACATGAGCATCTCTCGAATCAGCTGAATCTGTCTTTCCTATAGACCAAAGCAGAGTAAAAACATTCTAACTAACCAGGGGAGAAAGCTTCACCTCAAATTTATGGGATGGGCAGACCAGAAAACATTAAAATCCAGCATTATGCAAATGAGCCGTCAGGAAGCCTGCTACACTAATAGCATATTAATTCATGTCAAGCCCAGATTGTGTCTCTGATTTCTGACTGGTAAAATGAACTCCATCTAGAGTAGTGAGGTTTCTGCTACAAGACTTTTGGATCAAACTGCTAATCCAAGAGGACAGGGTATTGCAAAATGAGAGTCCCAAAATAGATTTTGCATAGCAAAAACACTTTAGTGTCATTTTATCAGGATAATTATTGGCTGCTTCTACAGATCAAAGCAGTCACCCACCTTTCTAAATGGTGGAGCAAAATGTATTAAAATGCATACAAAGCTGTGACTCACTAGAACTAGACAACCTGAGCTTACTGAGGCATCTAGCACTGTACCAAGATGGATTAGTGCCTCCTAGTAAAGGCTTTCTTTCCTTTGTACCGTGACCCACCTTGGTACATCAAAATGAAAGTGTTCTGTGTTAGCCACATCGCTCAATTTGTTGAATAGAAACCACCGACTAGTTATACCAATCTCTCTATTTTTGTATGTTTTACCCTGAATTAGCAGTAATAGTGAAGAAAAGCCTTACAGTTGTCTTACCTGTATCAATGACAAAGTACTAGCTATTAATATAAGGATGAGAATATTCTGGGTGGCATGAAAGATGGCCAATTGTCTTATGACAGATCAAGTATATTAGGATTTCCCTGCCCTTCCCCCTAATTTTAATTCTTTAAATTCTCATTTGAAATCTAATAAGTAGTCATTTCAAGTCTAAAGGAGGAAATAATTTAAATTTCAACCTATAGAGAACAAGATTCCTAGGCTGCCAATTTCAGCTCCAATAATGAACAAGTTGTCAATGGACAGGCTACTTGTAGTTCTCTAATGTGGGTGTGTCTGGCAAGTGGAAACATCAGACGATGCTTGCCCCTTCCCCACCCCGCAGTTCTAGCATAGAAAATACACACCAGCTTTTCACAGTCGGCCTCGGCTCGCTGTCTCCGTTTGATCTCTACATCCACCTGATTGCGTGCATGCTTCAGCTTAACATCCAGAGCGCTGCGCTCAGTCTCTGCTTTCATCAAAAGGTCCTTGTATTTCCCCAGCTCGTGGTCCGTTCTCTGCCACTTTTTACGGAAATCCTCAAAGTCCTTTGCCAATTGGATGAATTCTAAAGAAGGCGGGGGGACACTTTAATAATTCAAGCCCAAAACAGAGTATAAATGCTTCGTAAGTAAGTCCTCTGGTTAGTTTTACTCCAAATACATAATTAAGGGACCAGCTAAATGATGGGCAAAACCAACCAAGAGCAGACCCTGGATATACATTCATTGCTCTAGACAGACAGCTTTGTGGGGCGCAATTCCTGTTTCAATAGGCCACTTACATTAGCTTAGCCAGTGGCATCTGCTATGGAATAAGTAACTCATTAGTCACCTGGCTCCAGATGTAACACTGACAATGAGAGCTCCTGAACAGAAGGCAATCAAAGGGGGATACCTTTGGGGCAGCTGTCACACACCAGGACAGTTCCAGCTATAAAACCAAAACAGCCTCCTTTAGAGTCATACATTGCTGTGCCAGAGAGATGTTAAACAGCAAATTCAAATGTAACTATTATAATATGCTCCAGTAGATGTAGATTAATATTACAGATGTCTAGGCCTACAATGCCATTCAGCTATATAATTATACAAATATTGATTTGAAAGTAAAAAGCCAATTTGCTTTTGCTGTTTAACACTGCCCTGCAGGGTACATAAACATTCCAGTTGGAAAGATCATACTAGCTTTGGGTGAGTCACTGATAGCAGAGAATACAGACTTTCTTCAAATGTCTGCAAAGACAGCATCACTTTCATGGAAGCACCTCAAAGCATGAAAACCCTAGTGGCATTCATTCTTAGCATCTGCTATCGGCAAAGACTTTTCTTCTACAATGCCTTACTATTTCCCATTTAATCTCAATCTATCTCTAAGCATCACTTTCCACCAGTACCGTGAGGGAAGTTTCAAAGGTGTACATCTGTTGTTGGTCTAACTAACCCAGTTTACATCTGAAATTAGGGTAAATCCACACAAGCCTAGCAGATTCTTAGGTAGTAAGAGCATTTTTCTTATTTGAGTTTAACCTTAGAGCACAGAAACAATATAGTACCCATTTTTTGTTTTTTTAAAGATTTTGTTTATTTATTTTCAGAGACAGGGGAAGGGAGGGGAAAAGAGAGGGAGAGAAATATTGATGTGTGAGAGAAACATCAGTTGGTTTCCTCTCACACACCCACAACCAGGGATGCGGCCCTCAACCCAGGCGTGTGCCCTGACTGGAAATCAAACTGGTGACCTTTAGGTTCACAGGCCGGCACTCAGTCCACTGAGCCACACCAGCCAGGGCAATAGAGTGCCCTTTTAAAGCAATTTGAATAATGTGACTAAATTACAAACTTACAAATTAAAATTAGGGTACCAATTCAATCCACAAAAACAAAGTCTTACACGTAAGGAATCATCAGATTTTAGCAACCAAAGATTGTAGTAAAACATGATATTATGACCTAGTTATCATAGACAATGCACATATCAAGGACTATATAAAAAACAATAGTTTTAAATGATACACTGGTTCAGTTAACAGTTCAGAACACATTACTAAGGTATTTTTCTTTCTTAATTTAAAGAAAACAATCAATAAATGAGTGGATCAAAAAACTATGGTACATTTACACAATGGACTATTACACGGCAGAAAGAGCTACTACCCTTCACGACAGCATGGATGGAACTGGAAAGCATTATGCTAAGTGAAATAAGCCAGGTGGTAAAAGACAAATATCGTATGATCTCACCTATAAATGGAACCCAATCAACAATATTTTCACCAATATGTCCCCTAGAGCAAGGGACATAAAGGAAAGAATAAACAAGTGGGACTTCATCAAAATAAGAAGCTTCTGCTCAGCTAAAGAAAACATCAGCAAAATGTAAAGGGAACAGACCATATGGGAATATATATTTGCCAATGATACCTCGGACAAGGGTTTGATCTCCAAAGTATATAAAGAACTCACATGACTCCATTCCAGGAAGACAAACATCCAATTAAAAAAGAGGCAAAGGACCTGAACAGACGCTTCTCCAAGGAGAACATACAGAGGGCCCAGAGACATATGAAAGGATGCTCAGCATCACTAGTCATCAGAGAAATGCAAATTAAAACCACAATGAGATACCACTTCACACCGGTCAGAATGACCATCATAAATAAATCAACAAACAATGGGTGCTGGCGAGGTTGTGGAGAAAAGGAACCCTAGTGCACTGTTGGTGGGAATGCAGACTGGTGCAGCCATTGCGGAAAACAGTTTGGAATTTCCTCAAAAAGCTAAAATGGAATTGCTTTTTGACACAGCAATTCCACTGCTGGGATTATACCCTAAGAATCTCAAAACATCAATTCAAAAGAACCTACGCACCCCAATGTTCATAGCAGCACAATTAACATTAGCCAAGTGCTGGAAGCAACCTAAGTGCCCATCAATAGATGAATGGATCAAAAAAGTATGGTACATCTACACAATGGAATACTATGCAGCAGAAAGAAAGAGCTACTACCCTTTGCGACACCATGGATGGAACTGGAGAGCATTATTCTAAGCAAAATAAGCCCGGCAGTGAAAGACAAATACCATATGATCTCACCTGTAAGTAGAACCTAATCAACAAAACAAACAAGAAAGATATAACCAGCACCACGGAAAGAAAAAACAAACCAACAGTAACGAGAGGGAATAGGGAGGAGGGTAACAGGGAAAAGAACGGGATGGGTCAAATCAAGGAATATGTATAAAGGGACCCATGGACAAAGCCAAAGTAGGGAAGGATTGAGGGTGAAAGGTTGGGGTGGGTGGGGCAAGGGAAAGTGGTGGTGGGAAAATGGAGACAAATGTATTTGAACAATAAAAAAAATTTTTTTTTAAAGTGCATTAGGGCAAGTTGTTAGGAGTTGGTGAAGATAGAATCCAACTGTACTGGAGAGAACTTTCCAGAGCAATTAGAAATGAAAAGTGACATAGAGTTTGCATTATTTTGTAAAATGAAGATAATCTAAAAATAAAAAATTATTTGCACAGGGAAAAAAAAGGAAAAATATATCCTTTTGCAAATTTAGTAATTTCAACACTATAAATTCAAAAGGAAGAAAACTAAAACCAAAGCTAGTTCTTAGCCTTGTTCACTGGCAATTCATCAGGCAGTACACTTATGGTTTGCGTATTTTCCTGATGTATTCAATATGTAATACCTCAATTTCAAAAAATAACAAGAAACACACTTTTCAACTACAGAGTCTAAAAACTTTCTAGCTCCACACTGTGGTCAATTAAATGTTTCTAAATATAGTGGTACATACACACTCAAATATTTAGGAAATTAAAAAACAATTTGAGAATGGAAAGATTTCCATTTGACCTAATTTTGCTGGTTTTTTGTTCCTTAGGATACTCCTTAATAAGTCTTATTAAGTTTAAGTTTTAATTCCTGTTTGTTGTTAATTGTCATACTTTATAGGTATTACTGAACTGGACAATGGAACTCAAACCAAATAAAGTATCAGTTCATTTCAAGGAATAAGTTCCTAACTTAATAATACAAATTATTAAATTACTAGTAGTTCAACTTAGTTTGTTAGTCATGTATGCAGATGTTCTGGTTTTGGCCTAAGTTATTATTTTTTATGTTCAATTCAGTTATAAATTAAGTTTGCTAAACTGGGTCAAAAAAGATACTTTAAACCAGAGACCAGGAAAAATTTTGATGGTGGAGATCAACAGATATGGCTTTTTTTTCCAGTTTGTGAATGACAATTTGACTTGGTACTAGTCCATCATGAAGACAGAGAATCAAAGCAGATCTATGAAATACATAGAAACAGAGTAAGCTAAAATGGGGAGACAAAGGAACAACCCCCAAAACAAAAGGAGGAATCATGTGGTGAATGCTGCGGGGAGAGAGGTGAAAGGAAACTAAATGGTAATGGAGAAAAAATACAATAAAGATTTTTAAAAGAAAGAGCCTTGGCTGGTGTGGCTCAGTGGATTGAGCACCGGCCTGTGAACCAAAGGGTCGCTGGTTCGATTCCCAGTCATGGCACATGCCTGGTTTGCAGACCAGGTCCCCAGTTGGGGATGCACGAGAGGCAATGACACATTGATGTTTCTCTCCGCCTCTCTCTCCCTCCTGTCCCCTCTCTCTAAAACTAAATAAATAAAATTTTTAAAAAATAAAAATAAAAAAAAAAGAAAATGAGGAATCCCCAGAAAAAGAGCTAAATGAAATTGAGGCAAGAAATTTATCAGACATAGAGTTCAAAGTAATGGTTATAAGGAAGCTAAAGGACCTTAGCAAGAATTACAAGGAACTTAGTGGGAACTAGATCAGCATGAAAAAGGACATGGAAACTCTGAATAAGAACCATTTGGAAATTAAGAATGTAATATCTGAAATGAAGAATACACTAAAAGGAATAAAAAGCAGGCTAGATGAAACAGAGGGTTGAATCAGTGACTTGGAAGACAAGGTAGTAAAAAACACCCAATCAGAGCAACTAAAAGAAAAACAACTTAAAAAGAATGAGGATGATTTAAGGGAATTTTGGGATAACATGAAATAAAACAATATTCACATCACAGGGATACTGGAAAGAGAAGAAAGTGAACAAGGGCTGGAAAACCTGTTTGAAGAAATAATGACAGAAAACTTTCCTAACTTGAAGGAAAAAGCACACAAGTTCAGGAAGCACAGAGTCCCAATAAAGATCAACCCAAAGAAACCCATAACCAAGACATATCATAATTAAAATGGTAAAGTTTAAAGACAAAGAGAAAATCTTAAAGGCAGTGAGAGAGAAACAGTTACCTACATGGGAGTTTCAATAAGACTGTCAGCTGATTTCTCAAAAGGAACACTTTAGGCCAGAAGGGACTAACATCAAGTGTTCAAAGTAATGAAAAGCAAGGATCTGCAACCAAGACTACTCTCTCATTTAAGGCTATCATTTAAAATTGAAGGCAAAATAAAGACGATCTTTAGACGAAAAAAGTCTAAAGGAGTTCATTAACACCAAACCAGCACTGCATGAGATATTAAAGGGACTCCTTTAAGAAGAAGAAATAG